GGGCGCGAGCCGGAGTGCGTGGACCCCACCCTCGGGGCACCGGGCGCCGGGACCTGCTCCTTCTCCCGTGGGAAGGAGGACCCTCCGCACTCCCGGGACAGCCAGGAGAGATCGCCGCAGGGCACGCGCTGTCCCTCCCACGCTGGCTCTGGAGGAGACCCCCAGAAGTCGGGAAGGACAGTGGGACCTGAAGGACCCGGAGGGAGACCGCCCCGACTCCTCAACGCACTCCAGACAGTTCGGGACTTTGGAGGCAGAGGGAAAGGGAGCCGTGCCTGTGGAGTAGGCACCCCGCATCCCACCCAGTACTCACCGCGGAGAGGCGTCCTGACACGCACAAGCCAGGACCCTCCAGGGAACCGCCAGCAATCCGTTCCAGTTTGCTGGAGAAGTGGAAGACCTCTCGCCCCCCAACTTCCGTGCACCTAGACAGTGGACCCGGGCAGAGCCCCTCAGCTCAGATCTCCAGCAGACAGAAAGAGCCCTCAGCCCCTGAAAGATCCAGTTTGGGGGGGAGGGGGATTCCCCCAAAGGGGAGGAGACAACTCCTGGTTGGGAGAGGCTCCTCCCCTCCTCCCTAGGGTAGCAGGCAGGGTGTGGGGGGTGTGCCACCTTCCCCAGGTAGGTCCTCCCTCTCCCCCTCCTCCTCCTTCGGCTCCTCTTCCTCGGGGGACTCAGTGCCCCGCTCCAGCTTGGGAGGCTCCGCCAGGCACTGGAAGAGTCACAGAGGATGAGACCTGTCACCCACCTGTGAAGAGGGGAATCCCTGCAACCTCAAACTTCTGTACCAGGTGGTTTCCTCCGGTGGCGGCCGGGGGAACCTTGGAGGCAGGTTAGTGCTTTCTTGCATCTTTCTCTCTGTGGTCTTTACGCACCACTAGGTATGGGGAGCTGAAATGGTGGGTCTTGGGGTTCATTCCTGTGGAAGGCAGAGTCCCTTGGGAAATGTCTTCTGATGGAGCTTCTGCAACTGAAACCCACATGTTGTTGCAGAGACTCTGAGAAACGGGCTTTTTAGATTTTGGAGACCAAAGGGATGGGTCATTTGCAGTTCCTAGAGAAGTGGATGCTCTGTACTGAGAACAGACAACAGGTGCGTTTTCAGGACGCCATGGTTACTGTTAGTAATGCAGGACACGGCACAGCCAGAATCCCACCGCACTCTCCGCCTTCCGGTCTTGTCCTCCGGTGAGTGGACCTGCTGGAAAGTCATGGGGGCATCTTGTGTCTTGTCTAGGGCATGCCTTCGTCAGCTTAATGGCCAGCAGAGGTCTTCCTTCCAGTCTGATACACTGACAGTTTGCCTGTCTGTCAGTCTGTCCCCACCCACTCTCTCTATCTTGGCTACCAGGAGGCCCTTCTGACATCCCTGCTTCAGGCTGGATATCTGCCATCCAAGGGGAAATGTGAATCCACATGTCCCGAGGTGAGAAAAACACGGTCTAGGGTAGTGCACACTGGTGGGCTGAAGTCTTCCTAGACACTGGTTCTGCCTTAGTCCCCTACAAGTGGCCTGCCAGGAAAAATGAGACTGGGGCTAGGAGGCAGACAGTGTTTCCCAGTTTCCCCCACACCTCGTCTGCTTGAGTTGACCACCGGGGAGGTCGGACCTCCGTGCAGTGTTTTAGAGTTTGCTTCCAGGAAAACATCTACTGGTCTCATCATCTCTCTTCCTGTCCTCTTGTTTAGTTCTGGGTCCCAGGAACCTTGTGGTGAAAATTTTCATCCTACCTTAAGGAATCATCAAAATCCAGACTCTTTAGAAAAAGCAGGAGAAAAGGCACCGAGGAATTTTCCTGGTTGAGCCAGGGCTATGCCTGTAGTGGAGCTCTGAGTTTTAACCCGAGGTCACTACCCGCCGGCCTGCTCTCCGGCCTGGTCATTGGACCATGCCTCATCTTCTGTATGGGGTTTCCTCCCCGTGGGTTTCAGTGTCTGCCTCCCTAGGTGGGCCATGGACAGGCTGCTCAAGTCTCTGCCGTCCGCTTGATCCTGGAGGTTTCTGTGGTGGTGGTGGTGGTGGTGTGTGAAACAGAGCTGTGGTCCACGGGTTTGATGGCCGTGCCGCAGAATGAAGTACACGTTTCTCAGTGGAAATGAATGTGGCTTAGTGTCTGTGTTGTGAGTATGTACATGGAGAAGGGTACAGTGGTGTTCTCAGACTGCTCTCTGAGCCCTTAGAATCATTTCTGGCAGGCATGTAGAAGCAGGAGACCCTCTGCCAGGACCTAGGAGAGGTGAGGGTGCAGATGACCAGTGGGAGGAAAGCTTAGCCGCCCCCCTCCCCCACCGGTGGGAATTCTCGTGGTCTCCTCTTGGCAGTCAGGCCGTCATCCCTGGCAGCGGGCAGCCCTTTCTCTGTTTGGGCCTGTTTCTTCCGGGACAGGTAGGAGAGCTTCATTGTGGTTACCCCCAGTCTTTAAAAAGATGGGGATCCTTTACTTCCATGTCTAGGACTGCCTCTCCCACTTTTGAAAAGCGGATGTCTCTGGTGTAGCCGTGGCCTGTTTCTTACACAGCTCTTTGCCAGATGCTGGAGCGCCACTTCTGAGTGGCTCAGTGTGCACTGTCCTGTGGCTGCCCCAGGCGGACCCACTCATTCAACTGGCTCTGCTGGGATAAGAATCACTGTGGGGCGGGTCGGATTAACTGTGATTTGGAGGGTTCTGTTTTCCAGACTGTATCTTGCATCTAAATCCCCTCGAAAGACGGGATGATATTTCCCCCATCCCTTCATCCTGGGAGGTTTCCCGGATCCTATATTAATCAGTACTGGGTTGATATGAACTCGAAGGAAACGTTTGAAATTCAGATGTCCTGACAGACTTTGAGATTTGATACCTTGCACCTTTGATATTTTTAATGCTGCCTCTATGATCTGCTATAATTTTTGACATTCTCTTTTCTTTTTTAAAATGACATTATGTAATATATATACTATTTTCTCTGCAAGTATGCACACCAGAGGAGGGAATCATCCCATGGGGACTACAGTTACAGATAGATGTGAGCCACCATGTGGGTGCTGGGAATTAAATTCAGGTCCTCTGGAAAAACAGCT